CAAAAAAGTAAAGCTATTTTTTTGGCTAGGAGCCCGACAAGGAACCCATATTAGTCAGAGGTCCCTTTACTACGGTTCGGAGCCGCGGAAATTCAGTAATAGTAATAAATAACACAGCAATAGTACATTCACGTAGTTGTAAAATGCATGATAATATGTTAAGTAATCCAAAGTATTCAGAATACGTTACTCTCATTGAGTAACGTAACGGAATATGTTACAGAATACATTTTGGGGCATGTATTCTGTATTCAGTAATGGAATACATTTTAAAAGTAACCTTCCCAACACTGATTATAATAAAGCTGTCCCCTATTCTGCAAGTGCTGCTGTAGCTTCAACCTCTTGTTCTTCTCCATGCACCTTGGAAGTGGGTGAAGTTGTGCTGGAAACCGCCATTCTGTTTCTTTAGATGGCCCCATTGTCTGAGTTGCAAAGCAGTTCTTTGGACGTGTACTGAGTACTGATTAAAAAAAATCTGTTGAATTAAAAAAAGAAATTGCAGACAAATCACTTTAAATGCAAAATCAATGCACATATGTCTTACTATTTGACTGATATAGCATACAGCAGGGAAAAAAAAATTCTGCTTGGAAGACTTGCTTTTCCTTTTATTTTGGCTGTTTGCTAGTAGTCTTACCCTTTGGTAATTATTTCTTGTTGTGTTCAGCCACTCACAGATATTTCCGACTTGCTAGATGCTTCATCTCTCCGTGACATTTCAGATTTGTTGCCAGTGTGCCTGACATTCTGAATTTTTGATTCAGACCTTGTGGGCAGAATATGCTTTAAAATGTTAGATTTCTTCTAACAGAGTCTACAGTAATTCACCTTAAAGCTCCTTTAAGTCTTCCAGTATTGGGTTTGCTTCAACAGTGCTACAGATAGCTGTATCTAAACTGCTATCTGAACTAGATTTTCCAAAAATCTGTAAAGTTCAAACACTAGAACAAAACCCATTTTTTCTGGTGCCATTCATAATCATATTTAACTGTTTAATGCAAGTATTCAGTCACCCAAATATATGGCAGCAATGCAGTGTAGACATGGTCAAGATAATCTGCTGAAGTTCAAGTAGTGTTGCTATCCATGCCCACTCCTTTATGACCACAGTGTACCCATTTTCTGATGACAGCTTCCAGCAGGATAACTCGTTACAATTAGGATATAACGTCACAAAGCTAAGATCTTCACAAACTGGTTTCTTGAACATGCCAATAAATTCATTGCACCCAAATGTCCTCCACAGTCATCAGATCTCAGTCCAATGGAGCGACTTTGGGGTGTGGTCGAGAGTAAGCTTCACATCATGGACATACAGCTGACAAATCTGCAACTGTGTGATGCTATCATACCAAAATCTCAGGAATGTTTCCAGCACCTTGTTGAATCTGAGCCACAAAGAATTAAGGCAGTTCTGAAGGTAAAATTGGTTCCAGCACAGTATTGGTAAGTTGTAGCTAATAAAGTGTCCCATGAGTGTAGATCCTCCTGAGAACTAGCCTATTCATTTCTGTCCTCTGTAATAGACATTGGTTTTTGGTCAATATCTTTTAACTTATTTGAGCCAGTAAATAGAGGACATCCTAGGCCTCTTTTAGCTCCAAAGAGGAAGTAAATCACAAAAAAGTTCAAGGGGAAGATTATTTTTTCCTTGGTTCTCAGGAGAATATGAAAACTTCAATTTTACTTGGAGTAACACTGTAAACCATTGTGTAGCCTTCCATTCATGTCTTCTATGACACGACTTTTGTCTATTACAGTTAAAATAATTGAGCTTAAACTTGGAAATTAATAGATTTTTACAATACTGGCGGTATATTGAAAAAAATAAACATTGAAATGATACGAAATGTACCCCTAATTACATTACAAATTTTACAAGAGATGCTTCAAAAGGCACCATCTCAACAAACAGTAGAAAAGCTCTATAACTAACTCGAGGTTTGGAAGACTTGCTTTAGAAGTCAGCCCAAAGTTGCAACTCATGGTAGTGCCAGAAGGGTTTTTTTTTTAGCCTCACAAAGACCAGTTTGTTTGACAAATGTGATCACGGTGTACTTTGCCAGAGTCTGGTTAAGCATCCCATGACCTGGCCCTCTCAAGGAGGTGGGATGAGGCATGATTCAGTTGAACTTGGGCACATTAGGCATGTAGTGTGATAAATATATCAGGTATGTTAGAAGGCAGAGTGCCACTACTTCCAAAAATGGCCCCAATTAATGGAATCAAAGCACTTTGGTGATGCAACATAGCAGACCTACATCAGGCGTATTCTGGAGCAACGGCTGAGTGTGAATGAATGCGTTTGTGGGTCAGTTGGCGAGGTTCCCCAGACAGAGCTCTTTGGTGTACTAGATAAATGCAAGTCCCTGGTCTTTTCGTGCTTGCTTTTTATAAGACTTATAATTTTTTGACCAAATGTCATATTCATGTTTGATGAAAGCGTTAAAGAGACATTTCTAGAGCATAGGTGCAAACTATCAATTTAGAGCCATATTAATAATAATAGCCAAATAAATGGGAAATATACCAGGCTTTTAAAAAAGAAACATTTTTACGTTAACAAAGTGTCTAAAAATCCCTTAAAACTACAAAATCCCAAGTTGGTGCTTTGTTTTCTTTGACAATGTGACACACTGTCTGGAGACTGTTATCTAACTGAAATTGATAAGTCTCAACGTGCTGATCTGATTCCCAGCCATCCTACTTTATCAAAACATATCAGCTGATTAACAGTTGCTGGCAAGAGGTCAACAGCAATGATGGTAATGATAATTATTCTCATCATCGGAACAATTTTGGGATAATTATACATCTCTTGTGATGAGTGGTAATATTTGGAAACAGGAAGACACAGCTGAAAAAATGAACAGATGTGATCACACTACTTTACAAGTAGCTGACTACATGCATTGATCTGAGCTGTGTTTTTATTGGAACCAATAAGATCTCTGCGCAGAGGTAAACACGTTCAACATACTTAAAAAAAAACAAAAAATAAACATACTCATACATATTACTAAAGTTTTGACAGGCAGCCAGAGGTTAAAATAGAATGTCATATGACTTGACATAGGAATTGAGACACAAGCCAAGCAGGCGAGCTTGCTGAGTGAAGGTGCAAACAGCTTCCTGCTAAGCAAAAAGTCTTGTGCAGTGATGGGAATCATTTAAGTGCTGTTGCCCATTAGATCATTTCCCCACCTACACACACACATGCACACAGAGTTCATACTGAATTTAGTTATTAATGACTTAATAAAAACTGTTAAGGATAATATTGCGCATCCACAGCTTCACGTGCAGCGCGCCTCTCTGCACACATCCAAACACAGGCACAGCTGAATGTTCTCTGGTCCGATATTGAGTTATGACAAGCCTTTCGAGACCTACTGGCCACAGTGTATGTGGTTCATCATAATGCAGGTGCCACATCACATTAGTCTCCACGTGTGAACCATGATTTTACTTGGTAATTCTGAAGCCTTTTGCTGCCTATACATATTCATGCTGAGCCTATAAGTGTCAAATTGAAATGTCCTTCCAGTGTCCTTGACAGCAGGTTATTAATATTGAATACCCAAATCAACATTATAACTAGATGAAGAGATATACAGGTCATCACCTGCCACAGTCTCCACACCTTCTGTCCTCAGACAGTTGGACAAATCATCAAATTATTGCATATATTGTGTAGCACCGTCCAGGGTATTATATGCATATCGCACTGAGCAGCTATTTGTCAACAGGAAGTGTTATTAATGAAACAATACAAGACTCAATTATACTCAAATGCGATATCTTAAGCTTCTAATGAGGTCAATCCTCAAATAGATTTGTAAAAAAAAATGTATACAAAAATATTGTTCTTGTATTATTTGAGACCAGGTTTCCTCTAATTTTCCTCATTTCTCATTTAAGAGGCAGCTAACTGAGAGCCCACGCGCTCTGACTTAAAAGCCATAAAACCCAGGGTATTACTCGGAACAGCAACATCTTAACTATTCCAATTCTCCAATCCTTAAATTAGTGAGGCTGTTGTTGCTTGTGGCTGGTTTTAAAATCCACCTCCTGAGCCGTGTGCAGCCCGGTACCAGAGGATTGTCTGGCTGCTGCGCTTGATAGGATGCTGGCTGCAGGCATCTCGTCACAGCAGCTGAGAGGAGGTCAGGCAGGTCCTCCTGCTTGTGGCGACGCCCAAGGGCCATCAAAGCAGCGGGGAGCCCAGGCGCCGGTGAGGTCTCGCACGGCTTTGCCTTGCTTCATGAAAGCCTAATGAAGAGAGGGGGCTCTGAAACGGTGCTGTTAAGACGCCCACAATCCTGCAGCAAGGGAGCAGGGAGAGGATAGATGATGCTTGCAGATGAATTCAAAGAGATGCAGCACAGAGCTGAGAGAGTAGAGGCAGATAACATACCGCCAAGTGTTTGTGTGCAGATTTATTGCTGTTAGAAATGAAGGACACAAAGTCTTCTTCAGTGATTGCCAATAATAAATAAAGTGTGTACAGAAGTGGCCCCACCCCACTAACAAGCAAAGAGTAAAAACAACAGAGTACAGTCGTCTGTATAGAATGTATGAAAGCAATCTAAAAACATAATGTAGGCACATATCCTTGCATGTAAAAATAGGCCCATATATCATGCAAAAATAAAATTAGTCACCATTTTATGAGCATATCACTTTATCTATGCTTAAAGATAAAGGAATATGATGCATAATTTGTGGCCAACTTTACATTATTCCTTTATACAAACATATAAAAAGGTGCAAGTTAAAATAATTGCGCCTGTAAATCATCACTAACATTTAAAACCAGAGACCTTGCACTTCCAGAAAAATATACCTTTTTAAAGTAACATGTTTAATTCGAAATTTACTGTAAAGATTATTTCTCTTAAATTGCATAAAAGATTTTAAGTATGTTACGTAAATTAAAATATGTACAGGACAAACATGTATAATCATCATATTACAAACCAACATTACAGTTGAGTTCCAGATGGCACAGCCCGAGGCAAAGAATATAAATTAAAGCAGCTTCTAATTATTAATCTTTAAGAGTAAACTGTACATAGAATGCACAGACATTAGTAAATATTTAAAGTAATCTGAGAAAAGTCCTCAGTAAGGACATCTTTGGCTGAAAGCTGTTTAGGTGCTGGTTGAATGAGGCAGTGAATGAGGATTCGTGCCGGCTGAACAACCTGAAACCAACTCCGAGTGAGAGACCGCAGCGCTCAGACAGTTCCTCCATCCTTCTGAAAGTGTTTTTAGGTGGGAATCCCACACACAGCAGCATCGGGTCCAGTATTCATACAGTCTTCCATCCACAGTGCATTCTACAAGACTTTCTTCTTCCTGCTCCCTCTCAGCTCGCTGTACTGAACCTGGAAATCATCACATTTTATAAATTTTAAATATCAAACAAAAGTACCTTAGACAACAACAGACATCACTCAACAGAAGCGAGCAGTTTAAATTCTTCCCATTTATGAAGTGAAAAGCAGCGAGTCCTTAAGGTTCATTACAGGGTGCGTACTTTGATATTCCGATAATGGAACGGTAAATTATTTTGTACACAATGGTCAAAAAAAGAAAAAAAGATTCGTTTAAAAGTAAAATTAAAATGCGTTTTCTTCACTTGTTGTAATATTTTTTTTGCAAACGAGAAGAAGAAAGTTCTATCACTACCACTACTACACTGAGAGGGAGACCCATAGACATCGTTCATACACAATAACAACAAAACAGAGATACTGGAAAGTCACCGTTACGCAACCCAGTGGCCCAAGGGCATTGTAGAAGGAGAAGAGACAAACGGGGTCAAACAGCTTAGAGAGACAGAGACTGTGAGGAGCAGAGACGACGGCAGGGAAAAAGAGAGAAGACAGAAAGGAGAGTGGGAAGAAAGAGAGGAGAGGTCAGCACGGAGATCATGTGCAAGAGGAGGAATGAAAAAGAAACTTGTGAATAGCACTCACTTAAAAAACAATGTTTATATAGCTTATAGGTGCAAGGTAACCATTTTGAATCTTACTGAATGTAAGATTCTGTAGGACCCCCATAACACTCACGACAGCTTTTGAAGCTGAAGTGTTGGTAAGTACGAACAGGAGACACCAGCAGCAGCAGCAGCAGCGTCTCCCGTCTCAGCCTGGGAACAGCCTGCGCTACAAAGCTGCTAAGCAGCAGACCTCCACCAGGGATGTATCGGGACCAAAACACAACCAAAATTATACAGGGCTACATAATTATACAGATGGAGCTAATTATACAGACAAGAGTAAAGAATGCCTGGGAGTTGTTGTAGTAAGATGCAAAGCTAGCTGGCTCTGGGATTTTGGGCTTCCTGGCCGGCTGATCCAGCGGAGCTTACCTTCTGCACATCTGAAGGCACCCTCGACAGGAAATCAAGCACTTCATTGTTGTCAATGCTGTACGGGTTCCGTAATTTCTTGGTGAATTTATTGATACCTAAAACAAAAGTTCACACCAACATATCATTAACACTAGTCTCCTGTGGCTGTGCTCTTTGTTTCCATACAAACAAATACTTGCAGGGGAGACTCATGCTGTCCAAGAAATATTGCTTTGAGTATCCCCAGTATGTGCCTTTTTTTGTTGTGTTATTGTCACTTTTTATAGCTGGAAGACTTACACCGCTTTACACTCCAGTCATTCAGCCAATAAATTTATCCAGTAAAAGTCTTAACAATAGGATATACATCATAGTCAACATCACTAACATAATAAGCTGCAAATGTTAAAAAGACACAGCCGGAAACATATGGAGCAAATACTCCCTCGACCTTACAGAGCTGCTGGATAATAGAAAGATTCAAACAAAAGAGATGAAAATAAAAGTAGAGGAGGGGCTTTTTTTCTACGACAAACACTTACAATAGTGGAAAAAGATTTTTTGTCATCAACACAAAACAATGAACACAAAAGAAATGAAATAATTACCACATCTACAACTCACCCCATATTAAAACTATGTAGCGTATAGGGATGAAGTATGTGATAATTGCTGCAGTGATGAACACCAACAAAGCCAAGGCTGACAGGAACGGCATGGTCCAGTTGAACATGCTGACAAATAAGAAAACATCAAGTCAGAGTCAAGGAAGGATTTTCTTTCTGCATTAATTCAGTGAAAATAAACATGAAGTACAGTACTTATTAGAGCAATATTAAAACATAGAACAACAAAAACAAATGATGCACAATTATTAACACATTTCAGGAAAATGACTAAATTAAAGTCAGTCATAAACATGTCTGATTCCTGAATTGGAAAAATCAAATGGATACAGCTCTGAAATTACAACACGTTGTTATCTCTTACTTTTTAATCCTCTCCCCTAAACAAGCGATCCCGTCGAGAAGGTTTTGAACGGTGAGGATGATGTCTTGGACCATGTGGATTTTCTCTATGAGCCCTTTCCTCTCGGACTCCTAAAGCAGCAAGAAAAAAAAGACAAAGAAAAATCTGCTTTGGAAAACACTCAAAGCCAACACGGCGGTCCTGAAAAAACTGCAAAAAAACCCCCCAAACCACCACCACCAAAAAATTTAGGAATTCCAAGGCTTTTTCGTTTTTTGCTTATTTTGGCAATTTTTTTTTGGGGCAAAATTTTTTTTGGCAAAAGGATTAAGGTTTTTTCAAGGTTTTGATTTTAAAAAAGGTAATGAACAGTAATAGTGTAAACTGTGTTGTTTTAAGTACTAATTAAAAATGAAGGACCGTGTCTTCGTGGTTCTAATTAAAGGTTTTGCACCGGTTGACAATATTCCTGCAGTAATAGCTCGTGACAGACTGACAGACGTGCAGCTCATTAAATTACTCTTAATGCTTGCAATCAGCACCAAACAAGCTTTGGTTTTTGCTAAAAGAGTTACTTAGTAAATGTTAGGGTGCAATATCCACCACTTTTTGCTCTCCCTTCTAAATATAATAATAATAAATTAAAAATAAAGGCGGAATAAAATAATCTCTTGTATATAGAGTTTGTACTGGACTTCAGTATTATTTATTACACATTTGAAATAAAGTATGGACACTTGAAAGTAGATTAAACAACAAAACGTTTGTGGGAATTTGCAGGCTCGAGTATAAACTAACCATGCCTGTTCAGCTTTGTTTGCACAGACTGATAGCTACAACATTTCCAAAACCGCAGCTTTGATCAATACCAGGAAACCAAACCCGTAAACACACTCATTCAACTCTGATGAAGAGTGTCTGCAAAATGTGAATGCAAAAATAAAAAAAGAAGGAAAAAAAAAAAAAGCAAGTTAAGATGTGAAAGGACTGGACATCGCATTATGAAAGAGACAGAGTATCGTTCTCAGGCTGCTCCAGATCCCAGGAGGAAAAATGACTTTTAAGTAAACAGAGGAGGCCAGATCCTCTGAAGATCTCTGGAGTGAGCGCCAGACTTCAGACGGAGACATGGCCACATGTCCACATCAAATGCGTTGAGACTAAAGAAGGGTTATAGGTCCAAAGAGAGGATCTGCGGTATGTGTGGATGGTGGGGGGGGCAGCGTTAGTTATTGGAGGACAGGGCAAAAGGATATTCCAGATGCAGTGACTCAATGTGAAAAACCACATGTGAGGCAAATCTCGCTTCACCTCAGTGAAGTATCCATCACTGCACTAAACCACTTCAGCCATTTAAGGGTCACGTTCCCACTGGAACCAGTATGAGAACCACTTTAAATCAGGCCAATGCCGGCCATTCAAAAGGTCCACAATAAACTCCTGTCACCCTGAAGAAATATTTCATTGCCTGAAAGCATTTTAACACTTTCAAGATAAACTTTCAAAATGAGCTCTGAAAAAGCATGTCTAAGTGCCGTCATTAGTTCCATATTGATGGTATTATATGGTGTGTTAAGCTGAGGGACTTTCCAAATGCAGCAGAACCCTTTTCCCCACCCCTCTATTTGCATATGAATGTGTTTTGACAAGTGGAAACGGGTTGGTGAGGTCTTCATTAAGCTCAAATGTCTTTTGGTAAGCACGAGTTTACAAAAAAATACAACTGGTGCTTGACAGGAATCAAAATGCATCAGAAGATTTAGTGCTGAATAAAAAGCTTAGCAACACAGACCCATAGATCAGAGGGGGATACCTTTTGTCAACATGAACAAAATGAAGCTAAATTCTTTTTTTATTGAGCAGCATACAAAAGTCAGCAAACACCTGGCAGAGGCGCGTACCTTCTCATCGTCTTCGTCCTCATCCGCCAAATCCAAGTTGGTCTGAAAGAAATAATTGCAACGGAGAGGTGAAATTATGAGAATTTCATTATCAGTCTTAATAAAGCTTGTCTCACTGGGACTGCGAGATGACCCTGAGATCAGTCTCCTGAAACACTTTGCATAAAATCTGACCAACACAGGACACAGTGGACTTTTCAGGAACTAATAGCTAATTAATACCTTTCCATCAGCACCGGATCACAATTGCTTGTATGCGAGAGAAATAGCTCAACATGTCAAGCCCACTTAGAATGACCCCACTTAGCGGTGCTGTGTGTTTTAGCATGATTCAGCTCATTGTTTTTGTTTCTCCGCTCTCATCTTCACTGTTTTGGTTTCGCACCCCGATCATCTCATCTTAGCCTACTACCTAAAATGAGCATCTAGCTAGTGCAGAATTAAGAAGCCAGCAGTTGCCTGGCTATTTTCAGGCTACAATGAGCATAAACATGCACATTTTTCCAACTCCAGAAAAAACGCTTCTTGCCATATATCAGTGTTATGTCTAAACCTTGCTTCTGCTGCCCACAACATGGCAAAAAAAATAAAATCTTTACTCCAACATTGACCTTTTGTTTTGATCTGTAACAGGATGCTGCACTTAAAAAAATAAATCCATGTAGGTTATTTCACATGATAGATTTGTCAAATTTGTGTGTTTTCAGGTTTGAAATGGACATGATATCAGATATAGTTAAACTCAAATATGCTCAGAGTTTGTATATGATGAGTTTTTGAATGTTTGCTTGTTTATTGACCAAACTTTAACTTTTATTGTTTCATAGTTAGAAATAAAAACTTTAAATCAGTTGCGGAGGGCGATGCATTGATTTCCAAAGTAAATTCTATAAATCTTTACCCTTTGCTTCCTTGTGACAAATGAATCTATGTGCATGATCTGATCAACATGCAGATCTGGTTCTTTGAGGACATATAAACTGTATACTTACATATATAGAGCCGATAATGTTTTCTGCAAAGAATTTGCCCACTATTTTTAATGTTCTAAATTGTTACTTATCTTGATAATCAACCGATCATTTGACTTATGTATGATTGCATATGCTTTAGTCAAATTAAAAACTAATAATAATACTAATGTTTTACAATTTTCTTACACAGATCACCTGAAAAGTTAATTAATTGGGAAAAAAATAGCCAACACATTAACTGAATGTGTATTGTTGTGTGAGCAGAGCTTGGTGTATAAAATTTGCTACCATGTATTCTGTGTTGAACCACCATTAATGCATTCTCTAAACAGACTTTGTGTTTCACATTCAATACTTCTTCAGAGTGTTACATTTGGGGGGGGCAGGGAGCATTGTGACCTTGTGACATCGTAGGAGATAAAAAACTTTTTTTCTAATCTGACCAGTCACAACAAGAACAGGGCAGCAGGCCAATTACAGTGAAGCCGAGGACAAAAACTAGAGGAGGAACGGGAAAAAAGAAAACTGCGTTAGTAAAGGACAAGCGCTGTAAATTAGCTTAGGCTATAATGGTCTGTTACATTAGTCTATTCAGTGAGTTTTCAATGCTTATGTATTATGTGTTATTTTATTATTATGTAGCCATGTGTGACGGGTTGCTATGGAAACATACCAGCCTTTAATTATGAGAACAAAATGTGGCTTAAGAGGCTGTTTTTCTACAAAATAAAGAAATAAGAAGCGTGAATAAGAGCCAGCAGGTCATTTGGCAGAAAGAGGAGAAGATGGATAAGGCTGACAAAGCTGCTCTCAACTCACCTCATCCTGGCTGACTCGTCCAGATTGGATCTGTAGGTAGTTCCACGAGATGAGCAGAACAAAGGAGAGGGGCAGCATATAAAACTCCCAGTACCATACTGTCACCAAAAACACCTGCGGGCAGAGGGTCCAGAAATCAGACATCAATGAAGGCAAAAGGGGAAGCGTTACATTTTAGATCAACCAAGCAGGAATTCGATCTGTTATTAAATTGATTGTAAGATAATTGGTCAAGCTAATGAAGGCTGCCCTACCATTATACAAACTCTGCACACTAATTGCAGTTAGATTGCATATGCTGTGCAGGTATAGATGGTATATAAATGGCTAGAGGCTCTAGGTCTAAAAAGTGATGCCAATCTGCTGTTAAAGGGGAAGACTCCTTTGGTTGAAAAATCAAGTTCAATTCCATAAAAAGCTATGACAGAATGACCCAACTTCTTGAATTCAAACCTCAATAAACACTTTGCTGATGAGTTAATAGTCTCAGCCACATGTTAATGGTCTTTGACATGAAAATGATGTCCATCAGGTCCTGAATTAGAGTATAATTGATTAGAAGATAAACAGAGAATAAGCATGGCTACCTTGAGATTGGCAAGTAGTTACCCTGTGAGTGTGCAGTGTCCTTGGTTTCTCAGTCAGACCTACTGCTTGTTTTTCATATGCAGTTAAAAACAAAAAAACAAACAAACAAAAACGCACCCAAGACGGTGACTGCCAAAAAACTCAGCTTTAGGATTCAAAAGATGACTACGCAAACCAACCGGTGACATCATGAGGCCACATCCATCCTGTATATACAGCAAAAGAAAACCATTCTGCTCAGTTGGACTTACTCTTACTCCTGACTATGCATTGACATTAACCACACAGCTCTAATTGCTCCATCTCTTTCATCTTCTGTACATTAAAGCTGACCGATTCACTACAGCCTCAGGGAGCTTCTGTGTGAATATGCAATTAACATCCATAATGGCACTTATGATGCATATTCCACCTGTGTGGCTAAGGTAAAAAGGATAAAGAAATGTAGCCTGTGATATCTCAATTGCATGGCTAAATGGAACTATAAAATAATCCTATCAGAGAGGTAGTACAAGCCAAAACGGCAGCGGGCCAAAAGCATTGGGAAGGGTTTACAGGTTTTTATATGCTAATAAAAATAGAAGAGAACATCTGGTGAAGACATCACTCTCCTCTGAGGCACCAACTGACATAAAAGATGGCAGATCAGTGCCGCCCCTCCCACCACCAGCACCACCACCTCCGCCAATATCGCCACCGCCATCAGCTTTAATGTGCAAAAAGCCAAGCACGCTCTTGCCTGTGTTATCACAAGCCAAAATAGGGCCTGGGAGAGGAGATGAAACCAGTTCCTCACTGGAAGGGTTATGTTTTATTAGTGAGGACTTTGTAATGACTGGGAGAGCGAGGGTAAGGGGAAAGCCAAGTCACGCTTTAGTGGAAATGTATACTCAGCCCATAAAGATTGTGATAATTGTAGCCCATTTCAGCTTGAGAAGCATTACACAGTCTTCAACAGCAAAAGGGGACTTTGGGAATACAATCCACATCACAGGGGGGAAAAAAAAGGATATGTTATGC